CGTGGATATTAGTCTTCAATTTGGGAATTTTTTGACTTTCCTTCGCCCGGATACTGCCGAAATTTTTACCATGGTCCCTAATTCCTCCAGGAGTCCAATTGGGTGGGTGGAACCATCCAATTTGCCTTTAAACGACTAATTTACCGGTTTACAACTTACACCGATTTCATTAATTCAAGCCTTCCACGAACATTTATGACAACAAATAATGATCATATATGGTTCCAAACGGCATTATATGACCCCGAGACGTATCCCATATAATTTCAAGACTTTTCGATATCGGGTCCTGAAACCTCTTAAATTTCTCAAAAACGTGTATATTAGCCTTCAATTTTGGAATTTTTTGACTTTTTCACTTGAAAATAAAAATTGCTTAAATGTTTACCATGGTCCATAATGTCCTCCGGGAGTCCAATTGGGTGTGTGGAACCATCCAATTTGTTTTTAAACGGCCAATTTACCGGTTTACAACTTGCACCGATTTACCGGTTTACAACGACCAATTTAATTAACTTGCACCGAACCCGACTTGAACTGAAATTGACCCAAACCCGTGAAAACCCGAATTTAACCCGACTTGTTACTAACCTGATCTGAATTCAACCCGACTCGTTCCTAACTCGACCCGAATTTAACCCAACCTGTTACAAACCCGACCCGAAATCAACCTGACTTGTTATTGATCTGGCCCAAATTCAACCCGACTTGTTATTGACATGACCCGAATTTTACCAAACCTATTACTAACCTAACCCAAAAATTCAACCCGATCTGTTACTAACCCGACTCGAAATTAACACGACTTGTTATTGACCCGACCTGAATTCAACCCAAATTGTTCCTGACCCGATTTCAATCACCTTAAATGCAATTTAGACCAGCTTATTATTGTTGATCAAAGCATTTTGTCTAAGGAGACCAAGTTGGTCCAGACCAGCAAAAGAAAGGAGCATCATCCTCAAATTTAAGAGTTATATATAATATATAATTGTTGTATGGTCAAAAGAGTTAATTATCTTCCTAAATTATAGACTATAGTTCCCTAGTATATTGTCATATATATTATAATCAAAGGAAATAATTAGCTTGATAAAAATGATAATTATCTATTTATACTTAGTTGAACCCGAAGATGACCTAACTTGGAAATGACCCGACCTGATTGTAACCTGCAAATTATTGACTTGAACATAACTTGACTTCAATAGGTCTAAGATGCACACTTGTGCACCTATTTTAGATGCAACACCAGCCCACAAGCCCAATTTCAAACGCGCCCTATTAAAAAAGTCCCAAACCAAAATGAGCCCGCCCAAAAACTGAACATATTTTTTAAAATACAGCCCACTTAACCATCACTTTCAACAACTATTATTTTTTAAATATATTTTTTTTAAAAAAGCGTAACTCTTAAGTTTTAAATTTCTGAAATTTATTACTCCTCTCTTTGATTTTCTCTCTCTAACAATCAAACATAATTCACTCTCTCTCTTCAAAAACAACCATGAATATTTGAGATAAGATGAAAAATTAAACGGATTCTCCCCCAAAAGGCAATTTTATGTAAATTTCACTTAATTTTGTTTGAATTTATATGATTATCACTTAATTTTGTTTGAATATTGTTCGAAATCTTTTATTGGAATTGTAAAAAAAAAAATCAATGAAATCAAACCGATACTTTATGTTCACATTTTGAAATGCATATGTTCATATTTTGAATACTTATGTTCACTTTCTGAAATGAAATTAAAGAAGGAGAAAAAACAGAAGAAAAGAAAATCATAATGAAATTTTTGATCGAAAATTTTGATGAGAATTAGGAAAGAAAAGAAAAGAGAAGAGAAGAGAGAGAATTGGTAAGAAGGAAACCAAAAATTGTTGATCGAAAAGAGGAGAAAAAATTGGGAAGAAGGAAATATGTTGGCGCGAAGAACGTTGATAGTGTTCAGAGAACAAGGCTGCGTTTTGCTGCATTTCATTCAGTGAAACATGCGCTTTGGGTTGTTGCACCTACCTCTACATGCACAAGCATGCAGCTAAGAATATGCGACCCGACTTGAATCCGAGAATGACTCGACTTGGAAATGACCCAACCTGATTATAACCCGCAAATTATTGACTTGAACCGAACCTGACTTGAACCCGAGAATGACCCGACTTGAAAATGACCCAACCTGATTATAATCCGCAAATTATTGACTTGAATCGAACCCGACTCAAACCCGAGAATGACCCGACCTTATTCTAATCCGCAAATTATTGACTTGAACCGAACCCGACTCGAACCCGAGAATTACCCTAACCCGTTTTAACCCGTGAAAACCCGAATTAAATTTTATTTGAAAAGGAAAAGAAAGCTGCATTACTAAAATAATGTGACCTTGAATAAGATTAAAAAAAAAAAAAAAAAAAAAAAAAAAAAAACTTAATTAAATAATTCATACTATTTTTTTTATATAAAAAAAAAAAGGTTTGCTTAAGAACTTAACATATTTGCTTATTATATTATCTTTCTATTTACATCATATTGGACTACATATTCATATATATGCTCTCTTCCTTGCTTGTACAGGGATATACACGAAAAAGACCACTTTGGATTATTATCATTTTTCTTTATATATTACTCCGTAGATAAGGATTGACACATTATGTTAAGGTATGCGTCAAATAATTTTAAATAAGTGAAATTCATATGAAAAATTATTCATATGTTCTAATAGTCACTCTTAGCATCTCACTTTGAGTAGTTTAGTGGAAAATGGACTTTTCAAAAGAAGATGATTTAAAGCATGCAACACACAACATAATTAGATATGTTCATTTTTGTGGTAGGTAGATTCAACCAATTTGGTGTTTGGTCATTTACGACTACTAAGCAACTTTTGATAACTTAGTACTTGTATTTTGTTTACAATTTGATTTAAGTGTTTGACTCATATTGCTTTCCTTTGACTGGTGCAACTTTTGTTCTACTAAATGTCAAAAGACAAAATTTTGGTCAGCACTTGCTAAGATTGAGTGATTATCCTTCTTTACTCTCCTTTAATCTACATGAAAAGTGGGTACTTAAGAATAATGTATTAGAGCACGTTTATATTGAGGTATAATCATTGAGTAAATTCATAATTATTAATTATTATGCTATACAATCAATACTGTTAACAATGTGTTCACTATTTAACATATTCTAAAATAACAAAGTAAAGATTGATGTGATGTCAAAGATGAGTGAAATAGTAATAAAGTGTGAAAAGTGTGATACACAAAAAAAAATTAGGTCCTAGTAGAAAATGTTGGTTAGTTAGACTTAACTAGCCTTCTGGCCCGTGCAATGCACGGTTTATTTATAGGTATAATATATAAATAATTATTTTTTAATATATTTATATTGTCAAATGAATAGTTTACAAAGGATAAGAAGAGGTAAAAATTGAATGCAATTGTAATTGAAATTAATTTGGAGGAAAGTGAACCAAACAACATTCAGTAATTTATACATATTGAATTAAAGTTTTTTTTTCATATGAAAAAGGGATTAAAAAAAGAAAGATTAAATGAAGTGACATGTGGCATTGTAGAAAAAAAATGAAATCTACATGTGGCATTATAGGGATGATGGTTTTTGTTTTTAAATACTAAGTATAGATTATTCTTTTTTGTTAAATTTTAGATTTACTTCCTATTAACGATAAAATTAAAGTCGAGGGGTAGTTAAAAAGTCACTGTTAGGAGAGCCGAGTTGGAGAGTGATAAAAGAAAGAAATACCAAGTACTCCGTATAATGTTAGAGAATCAAACGGATAAGTTCTTTGAAAGAAATACTGTTAAAAGGATATGAAAGCAAGATAGATGAAATTTATTAGATGGAATTAAAGTCTATGGGTAGTTAAATAATAATCTCTCCGTTCTCAAAACTTCGACCCTTATGGGTTGATTCCGCGGTTATTAAGAAACTTGAATAAAAAGAAATAAAAAAAATACTGGAAAGTAAATTTACATGGGGTTTATAGAGATAAAATATTAAGAATATATGAAAAAACAAAATTTTATATGGGAAAACTAAGGGTCTGTTCTCATACGTTTATTTTCAATTCAGTTTAGCTCCTAATTTTCTTCTCTTATATAATATTCATTTCAGTTCAGTTCAGCTCAGTTCAGCTCAGTTCAATTCAGATGATTTCAGTCTATTAGAACATGCCCTAATTTTGCATAACTATTGTTGTAAATGTGGGTATTTTAAAGCAAATGGATCAATTATTTTGGGACTAAAATTAGGCCAAAAAGGGTCAAAGTTTTGGGAATGGAGGGAGTAATCTAATGCTCGTACAAAGTACTGGGTAATAGGCAACATTAATTAATTAATTACCTATGGTTTGCTCACTTAACTAGTACTAGTATCCCACGTAAATAGATAAAGCCCATAAAGGACAAAGATACTAGTTACAAATTTAATAATAAATGGACACTGAATGCAATATCTGTAAAAATTGAGACAAAAATAAATATCAAATTTGGAATAAATAAAATTAAAACAATAAAAAAAAATAATAATAATAATTATAACCTTGAATATATTCCACTCAAAAGAGAGAGCATGGAAGTGGGAGTGTTGCTTGTTGGCCTGCTGCAGTAGCTACTGAGTGAGACTCAGACATCTCACATTTCACAACATTTCCATGTCTTTTTCGTACATACCAATTTCTATGTTTATGTTTCCATCATAAAAGCAAGTTAAAGGACCCATATGGTGGCCATACCTGCCTCCTGCTTCATTTTCATTATGTGGTCTACACCAACCTAAACACCTCCCAACTATAACCTGCCTTCTGTTCTGTGTCGAAACTCGAAAATCAAATAATAGAAACAAAGCCTTCTGTTCTATGTCAAAACTCGAAAATTGAATGATAGGAACAAAATGTGAAAGGCTTGGTAAAAACGATACACAAAAGAAGTTTGCCTGTATGTATGCAAGTATGAAGAAGACGGTGAAATTATTTTTGTAACGCGAATATTTCATTACTACTATCAACGAGCACACATTACATTTTTTCGGTTGCTGCTCGGCAGCTGAGCCCTTTCTAGCATTATAAAAAAACATACATATGCAGCTCTTTTACAAACATAATGCTGCCATTTTACTACTAACAAAACCTCCCAACAACCATAATCTGTTTCTCCAACAACCATAATCTGTTTCTCCAACAACCAACTTACCCGCAAACAAAGAAATAGAAAAGGAAAGGGAAATAAAAAAGACATTAAAATTGTGGCCCATACAAAAGCATTTTATATATTCCTTTTGGTTAGAGAGCAGCTGCAGCCTGTGGAGGAGATCCGGGCACTTGCTTTATTGATCAAAAATATTAATCAATGAATTCATAGACTTCACTCGACCTTCTCCGGTTTAAGCTTGGGGCTTCTCCCACTTGAGGGGCTTGACGGTCTCCCATGTGAAGTCTGCGTCGTCCCTACCGAAGTGTCCGTAGGCGGCGGTCTTCAAGTACCTGCTGCCACCCTTTAGAAGGTCAAGGTTGATGGCAATCATACCGGGCCTGAAGTCGAAGGTCTCCTTGACAATCTTGAGGATCTCCTTGTCTGGGATCTTTCCGGTTCCGTAGGTGTCAACGAACACAGACAATGGCTCGGGGACACCAATGGCGTAAGAGATCTGGACAATGCAACGGCGAGCAAGGCCAGCAGCAACAATGCTCTTGGCTGCCTGCCTGGCGATGTAAGCACCACTCCTGTCGACCTTGGTTGGGTCCTTTCCAGAGAAAGCACCACCACCGTGGGCTCCCCATCCTCCGTAAGTGTCAATGATGATCTTACGGCCGGTAAGACCAGCATCACCATGAGGTCCACCAATCACGAAACGGCCAGATGGGTTAAGGTGGAAGATGGTCTTCTCGTCAAGGTACTTCTCTGGGATAACAGGCTTGATCACATGCTCCTTCAAGTCAGCGGCAATCTCATCGTTGGTAACAGTCTCATCGTGCTGAGTGGAGATAAGGACGGTGTGGACACGGATTGGAACCATGGCACCGTTCTCATTGTAGTACTCAACAGTAACTTGGGTCTTGCCATCAGGCCTCAACCATGGGCAGGTACCATTCTTACGGACCTCAGTGAGGCGGGCACCAAGCTTGGTGGCAAGGACGTGACTGAGGGGCATCAACTCAGGGGTCTCATCAGTGGCATACCCAAACATGTGACCTTGGTCACCAGCACCAATCTCCTCTGGGCGCTTGGTAAGGTGACCGTGGACACCCTGGGCAATATCAGGGCTCTGCTGCTCAATGTAAACCAAGACCTTGCAGTTGTCAGCATCAAGACCAACATCAGCAGACACAAACCCAATGTTGCGGCATGTCTGACGGACAATCTTCTCGTAGTCTACATTCGCCTTGGTGGTGATCTCACCAAAGACCATGACCAAGTTGGTCTTTGTGCAGGTCTCACAAGCAACCTTGCTCTCGGGGTCTTGCGCAAGGCAAGCATCAAGCACTGCATCGGAGATCTGATCACAGAGCTTGTCTGGGTGTCCCTCGTTCACGGATTCGGAGGTGAATAGGAAGGTGTCAACTGCGGCGGCCATTTTTCAAACTGTAACACAACCAGAATCATTCACATCAGCACACACATACAACTTGCAAAATACTTCACAACAAATATCTAAAGATAAGAGCATAAATAAAGCTCCAAATCAAAATTCCTTAAAATAAAGTTTTATTCCCTCACTAACACTCCTAGAATCTCAACAATCAAATGGTATAAAGAATCAAAACAAATGCCATTATATATATTGTTCTCCAGATCTACAACTCACTCCCAACAAATTGCAATCGAAGATCGAATACTTTATTCCATTCCTAAAAAATTCTCATTCTTCCTTTCCATTCAATATTTAAATTTAAATCACTTCACCAGATCTAACAAGCTCAAAATGTTTTCATCATACCAACAGACGAGAAATCAACATTTGAAATAGCATATAATCAAATTAATTATCATAAATCGACACATGAAAACCCTAATTTCCCAATTTAACCATTTTCAACCAAAAATTACTCCATTAACATCCAGATCCTTTAAAAATCAAATCATAAGACCAACAAATCCTCCTAAAATAGAACTAATTCCTCCAAAATCACGAAAAAAAGGGTAAAAATCAAACGAACATGCTGGTGTAACATTTCATACAACAATCATTTCAATTAATTCATTTCAAACTCCAGATCTAGTAACGATAAATAACCAAGATCTAACAGAAAAAACGAACGAATCAATCATTTTTCAGCATTTCAACATCGCATCATAGATCTATAAATTTCCAATCAATTTATTCATTAATTCATCAATTCATCAATTAGTTCTCAAAAAAGGTCAAAAGATGATAATGACGACATAGAAATGAAGCTCAAAAATCCAGCAAAAGGTAGATTGAGATTGTTACCTGGAGAACGAAGAAATCCCCGAGTAGCAAAAGCTGGAAATGAAAGGAGAGAGAAAGAAGAGGAAGAAGAAAGAGAGAGTCCGAGTCTTGTTATATGATTTGCAGACCGGTGTAAGGCGAGTTGGAAGGGAAGACTAAAGGGGGTATTTATAGAGAAATGAGGAGAGAGAAAATGAGTAAAATCTACCAAGCTGTTTGGAATGGGTAATCTTAGCCGTTCAATTTTTGGGGTGTGATTGGATGGTCAGGATTTAGCGGGGTCGGTGAGAGAAATTTTGTGGGGTATGTATGAAATGACGGTTTTACCCCCCTTTGGGTTAGAGAGGATGGTTGGTTTACCAACTTTGTATGGCTAAGGTTGGTGGCTTGACGGCTTGGCGCCGTCGATTTTGTGTGAACGGTGTCGTTTTGAGGAAAGGATTATATTATAATAATAATTGAATCTGGACTTATATTAGTGTAACATACAATATTAGTTTAATGTAGATATTGTGATTTTGTTGTGATTTTCTAGGAGATTTTTGGGCTTTTTATTTTTATTTTTTGTTAACTATTGGACCATTTATTATTATTGCGTCAATAAATAAAAAGTGGTAATACGAGTATATTTTTAGAATTTACTCCATAAAATGGATTGATATTCCACGTACCTGTATAATTTGTTTCCTTTCACATAAAATGGATTGATATTCCACGAACATTCCGGGAGCCTTGGATATGCTAGCTAAAAATAGAAAAATTATATTAAAATAAACATTAATTACAACGATCAACACGTGATTTTGTCGTATCATTTTAGGTAATATTTTAAATGTTTATCCAACGCCCCAAGGGCGTTCGTTAACAAGATTCTTTCTATTTTTTTTTTTAGTGGTAGAATTTAAATCTTTACGAAGGACAAACAATACCCTCTTTTTTTTTTTTTTTTTTTTTTTTGGCTAATGTAGAATAATATTTTGATACTAAGCTAGACTAGAATATGCTTACTCACTAGAAGTTGTTTAGGTAGTGAATATTACCTTATTTTTTGCGGACTTGTGGTAACTCGATTGTACGGATTATGTGTTACTAACTCATTATCGATAACAAAAGGGGTGTTGTGTCTATGTATGTATCTTATCTATATGCTTGTTTTATTTTATACACGGTATATTCATGGTCCTCATAAGCAAATTTTGGCATTTCACTCAAGTAAATTTTTAAAACCATACAACGTATGGAGTGTTAATCATTTTTACATGAAACACAATGCTCAAATCAATCCAATTAAACAATTGACATACATACACTCTATATTACTTGTACGGGTTGACTTTTTTGTCTCTAATGTAGCTCAACATGATGCTCATACACCTTTTTTGTGTGTTAAAACTTTGTACTCGATACATAATTAGCTCTAGGCAAAAAGCATATATGATCACCTTCTGGTTTTTTAATCTGAAAGAGTTTTAATACTGAAAATAGATGTTTTGAACACTCGGGCCGGGTGTATAATAATGCTATTTTAATTAATCTTTTTATCGCTTTGAAGTAGGAGGGAAAAAGGAACAACCGACCTCCTTTCACTCCATTTGACAAATGTTTTAATCACTAAAACAATATCCCAAAAAAAAAAAAAAAAAAAAAAAAAAAAAAAAAAAAAAAAAAAAAAAAAAAAAAACCTGTTTGAACTTAGGAGAAACAAATGATATGATGATATCTAATATAATTATAAGTGACTTTCTATGCAATTTTTATTTGGTAAGGGTTGGTAATTGCCTAACTCGTTAGTGGTCAAGAAGTAGAATTTTGATAGAAACATCATGGACGGATTCTTACACCAAACAATTGATTCAGCATGCACATAGTTATATTACTTATATATGCATGTATAGGTCAATTTATTCATAACAAAACATAACACGTAGTCACGTACAAATAAATGCCTTAAAAGTTACTCTGTAAAACACTTTGAATTTCTTTGTCAATAACCAAGATCAAAGCATTTTATAATCTCATCATGCAAAACCAATTGTTTGACTAATCCCAAATTTCTCTATTTAATTGCAAGCTCATAAAATGTTACTCCTTTGCATAATTAAATCAAATTCCAATATGTATAGATGCATATCTTACTTACGTGAAACCGCATTTATAGAATCAAATCACCTCCGTTACTCAAAATCCACTCAAAATCCTTAATTACCAGTTGACGTTCAGTTAAATTATCATACGAAGTATTATTATATGTATTATAAGTTGTTGAAAGTAAATGGTATTAAGTCATATTTAGGGCATGTTTACATTTACTTAATTGCAGTTTAGTTCAGTTCAGCTTCAATCAGTTCAGCTCTTAATTTCCCTCTCTCATAAAACATTCATTTCAGCTCAGCTCAGTTCAGTCCAGCTCAATTCAATTCAATAAATGTGAACAAACCCTTAATGCTAGAGGTAATAGATTAAGAATAAAGGGTGAAAGAATAAAACAACTTTGACAAGTTTGAACTCCAATGTCTCACCAATTAAGTCCACAATACGAATCCAATCATCCATTAAATTGCTAACTAATTAAGGATACATAGATTTAAAATTTATTGCTATAAGATATACCAGCTTTAAAGGGCGCATTCCATAAGTATGTACGATACATAACATTATTAGATCTAACATTGTCCAATATAAGAAGAAAGAAGATCTAAATAAAAATATATAATAATAAAAACAAAATAATTTAGAGTCAAAGAATATGGACTGCTCCTATATATAATCCTACCGACACTAGTACACTACTTTAGTATTGAATTAATTAAAGATATTTTGTACACAAACATTATTATAAATTTATTAAAATTAATAACTGATTAAGGGATGATTCTGATACTGTGATATATTGGTGATCCCTAATTAGTGTCTTTTGTAAGTAATGGAAAGTGAGGTATTTGCACTTTTAGAAAGAGAAGAATAGAAGTATGTAGGAACTAGGAAGTAGCATATGATCTGAACAGCTATAGAGTAGGAAAAAGTAACAAAAAGTTCTGGCAAAAACAATATTAGGATTAATCCGATCGTAATATACTTGGTATTTAGCAGTTAAACACAGGTAATTGGCAGGTTGTACCAGGGTGTCACTTTGCTTCAATGTTGTCCTTTTTATTTTTCAAGTGAATCTCAGATCCACCGCTGGAGTGTGAATGAATTAAAGACTACTCTGATCTAGTGTGCTACAGTAGTGTATATCTGGGATACACTTGACACCCCGCCTTCGCGCAGTCACTATGGCGTTTAAAGGTAGGCACGGGCCATGCCGTGTAGGTCCACACGTGCCATGTCAACATATTTTATTTTCAAGTGGATCGGATTATGTTATAAACAAATTAAATAATAGTCGTGTTGTGTAAGGTTTGTGTCAATCTTTTATAAATAAAGCTCATGCACGGCTTAACCCACACGTGTATTGTGGCCACCGATGGGTTTGTGATAAGATCAGGCCAAATTGAGTCATTTTCATGTTGCGCCTAACTAACTTCTGATTTCGGTTCGACCCATGCTTAACTTTACTGACTCTATGTTTCAACAGGTAAACTAGAGGTGCCAACTAGTCATTTGCTCTATGTTCGTTTGGGTCATGGTCGAGTGTGATGAGTCATGCAATTTGGTGGGATCCAGATTTGTTTATTGTTCTTCCTAATTTTTGAATTGTCCTTGCTCAACTAGAGAGTAACTCTTAACTTATTTAAATTAAATTATTTTACAAGTTAAATTAGATTTTATTAAAACTATTATTTCATTATCTAAACTTATAATTGATCATAAAAGTGTGTAAAACCTAAAATACATATGAAGATGGAAGAAGAACTTTGGAAACCCTAGTATATGCATTAACTAATTTTACTCGTAATACTCTTTGTAATATCTTAAGCCTTGGGTGCTTGATTATACATATTATTTCAACATATAGGGTCTATTCTCTTCAGCTTAATTTCAGTTCAATTCGGTTCCTAATTTAATTCCGTTATCTCATAAACAACTTAGTTCACCTAGTTTAGTTCATTTCCTAATTTCTTTTTCTCATAAACAACTCAGTTCAGTTCAGTAAAGTAAATCAGAATAGGCCCATAATATAAGAGTGGGGTTGATAACCTCAGTTTTTAAATACTTGCTCTATTTCTCTTGGACACGCATGTCGATGCTAATCTTTGGTCACTAATATCTTTAATTAGCAATAAATACAAATTCTAACAATTGAAAATTAATAATCTATTCATTGAGATGATTCCAACAAGTACCTACAAGACTTTATTTTTTTCTTATGTATAAATCACAAACATTAGTCAAAGTAGGACAAATGAATAGTCCAAAAAATAGAAAGGGAGCAAGTATTTAAAAACGAAAGGAGTAATAAGAGTTACTCATTTATTTTTATTTTCTTATGGAAAGAGTTACTACTCAAATTTAATATACAACCAAATTAAGTTTATAAAAACGTAAGTGAAAATGAAATCAATTGTGTGAGCAAAAAAAATTGAAATTGTGGCAGTTTTTTTTTTTTTTAATGAAATAGCCAATATCCATAAAATACCCTGTTCATATTAAAGGCAAGTTACCGTTATTATTTCTTAATGGCAATTGGCAACATGTTTATGGAGCTTAAATTTAATAATTTTACATGTGTTTACAGGTTCATAATTTTGTTGTTTCTACTTTTGTCTTCTAACAATGTACGAGTATCATTCGGCCTATTAATCTTATTTTAAGATTAATTAATGAGTCATATTGAGTGGTTTAGCATATAAAAGATTGGCTTAGATGGGTTAATTAAAGACTTAATGACATGTCATCCACGTACGAAGCAGTTGATTAGAGGGCAGCAGTATTAAAACGACTTTTTAAATTTTAAAATAAATAGAATGCTTCAAATCTTCAATAATCTTACGAGTACTACTAGTGGTTGACTGCATTTGTATACCTTAATAATTTCTTAAGCTGGACCTTCTTGACCAACTTCATACCTACAACATAGTACAATTATAAAGTATGCTAACATGCATGTTATAGGCCTTATGAGAGAGAGATAGCTTAAGTGGTTAGAGCTTCTCTCCCGATTTTAAGGGGTCCTAGGATCGGTTCTCGCCCCGCCCTTGTGGTTCTCTAAACACCAAAAAAA